GAGAGGTCGCTATGAGTCAAAACTGACTTGATGGCAATGAGTTTGGTTTGGTTTGGTTTTACCAACATCATAGCATGGTCATGAAGGTTAAAGGGGTTAATGTGTCTCTAGTAAGCACAGGGTCTGTTGTTGTTGTTATTTGCCGTCGAGTAGGCCCCAACTCATAGTGACCCCTCCTTGGGTTTCCAAGGCAGTATCACTACAGAAGTAGGATTGCCCAAACTTCCTTCCGAGGAGTGGCTGGTGGGTTTGAACCGCCAGCCTTCTGGTGAGCAGTCAAGTGCCTTAGCCACTATGCTACCAGAGCTCCTAGCGCAGGGTCTGGTACACAGTAAAAAACAAAAAAACTGAAAATGTTGCTGTCAAGTTGGCTTTGACTCATGGTGGGTCCATGTGTTAGAGAGTAGAGCGGTTCCATCAAGCTTCTTGATGATCCTCTTTAAAGAAACAGGTCACCAGTCTTTCTTCCACAGCACTGCTGGGTGGGTTTGAACTATCAACATATAGCTGAGCATCTGAACACAAACCACTTGAACCACTCAGGCTCCTTTGGCACACGGTAGGTGTTCAATCTCATTTCTCAAGCTGAAAGCACTGAAGACAAAATTCCAGACGCAAGTTGCAATACTGAAGACTTCTATGGGCAAAATATTGAATGACACAGCAAGTCTCAGAAGAAGATGGAAGAAATACACAGAGTCACTGCACCAAAAAGAACTGGTCAAAGTTCAACTGTTCCAGGCGGTAGCATATGACCAAGAACCATTGGTACTGAAGGAAGAAGTCGAAGCTGCACTGAAGGAATTGGCGGAGAACAAGGCTCCAGGAATTGACAGAATACCTGCTGAGATGTTCGAATAAAAGATACAATGCTGGAAGTGCTCACTCATCTATGCCAAGAAATTTGGCCCACTGACTGGAAGAGATCCATATCTGTGCCCATTCTAAAGAAAGGTGAGCCAATGGAATGCAGAAATATTGAAAAATACCACACATAAGTAAATTTTATTGAAGATTACTCAAAAACAGTCGCAGCAGTACATTCACGGGGAACTTCCAGAAATGCAAGCTGGATTCAGAAGAGGACGTGGAACGAGGGATATCATTGCTGATGTCAGGTGGATCTTGGCTGGAAGGAAAGAATACCAGAGAGATGTTTACCTGTGTTTTATTGACTATGCAAAGGCATTAGACTGTGTGGATTGTAACAATCTGTGGATAACATTGAGAAGAATGGGAATTCCCGAACACTTGATTGTACTCATGAGGAACCTGTACATAGACCAGGAGGTTGTCATTTGAACAGAACCAGGGGACACTGCATGGTTTAAAATCAGGATGGGAGTCCGTCAGGATTGTATCCTTTCACCACACTTATTCAATCTGTCTGCTGAGCAAATAACTTGAGAAGCTGGACTATATGAAGAAGAACGTGGCATCAGGATTGGAGGAAGACTCATTAATAATCTGCAATATGCAGATAACACACCTTGCGTGCTGAAAGTGAGGATGACTTGAAGCACTTACTGATGAAGATTGAAGACTACAGTCTGCAGTATGGGGTACATCTCATCATAAAGAAAAAAAAAATCCTCACAACTGGACCTATAAGCAGCATCATGATACATGGAGAAAAGATGGAAGTTGTCAGGGATTTCATTTCACTTGGATCCACAATCAACGCCCATGGAAGCAGCAGTCAGGACATCAGACGTCGTAGTGCAT